CACTGATCACCACCTGCACTCATGTATAAATCTATCTACTTAGCACTTTTAATTCTTATTCTTATTTTCTATGTTTGCACTGAAGCACCGCAGCAATTTCCTAATGTTGTAAACCTGCTCAACATTTGGCAATAAAACCCTTTCTGATTCTGAGAAACAGGAAATACCAATGGTTTCTCTTTCTCTTCCAACAGATTCCCGATACTTTGATGACACATGTTGGCTGATGAGAAGTATTTCAATGATAAAAATCTGTTACACACAGATTTATTAATAACATATTAAATAGTAAACTGGCATATTGTACAGAACGCAAAGTACATAACATTTATTTCTTTTCTTTTTTTTAATTTTCCTTTGTTTGCCCTGTTTTATGAGTACTGTATATTTAAAGACAAACAAAGCCAGCAGTGCATTCACAGATCTTTCAAATCAAGTAGAAATACATTCATTGTCACAGAGCAGCTTCCACCTGATCTTGCAAACAGCATCAGTGTGAATGACTTTGCTTCATCGTGATGGTTCCAACAATAATATTTTCAAACAATAACTCAGAGTTGATACGAAAACAACAGTTACCGGAAAATTCAACAGCTCTTATAACTGAACCAACAATTTTGAGCAGCAATAAACAAAAATATTAAAGTTTTGACTTTCATCAATGATACACATTTATTTATTCCTATTTATTTCCCAGGGTGGGATCATTCAGTACACATTTGTTTGCATTGTTTAATTCATGTTTAGTTTAGTTCACAGTGAGCTTCAACAATCCCTCTAAATATTACTATTACTGATACTACTATTAATAGTAGTATCAGGTTGCATCATATAACAACTGTTTTCATTTCATTGCGAAGATGTTGGACAATGATCATATCTAAAATATACAGTTTCTATGGGACCTTCTCACAAAACACAGATATTTTAATAAAATTACCTCACATTTTAACAGTATTTCTCATAAAATATGCACTAGTAGACCTGCACATATCTTTATCATTCAGGCATTTAGTTTGTGTTGATGCAGAGAAGCATTTAACTTCCTGGTTTGCACTTCTGTATAGTGACGCTGCCATCAGCACATTAGGAATGTTCCCATGAATGACTTCCTAATGTTCACATTAGGAAGTCATTCATTGAACAAGATCAGATACATTCACAATTAGTTTCATCAGTTACTTCACACAACATGTGCAGTTTTTCATGCCTTTGTCCTCAAGCTTTGAGATATCTCAGTGCTACAGCAGCTAAATTTAAACAACCTGGAATAAAATAAAACCATAGCACAGTACATGACCTGATCACTATAAAAAATATCAATATTTCCGTCAAAAGAAAGGCATCTGTGTTTTTCCTCAAAGTTTTGTAACTTCAATTTAAAGAAACACAAACAATATGGAAGAATAAGAAAAATAATAATACTGACGTTAAGTGTAAAATTACTCAGACCAGAAAAAGACTAAAACTGAAGTAGACTGGAGATGGTGGCCTGCAGTGTGTGTGTGTGTGAATGCATTTACGCACATACTTTAGGATTAGATGTGAATATTCTGAAGGTGAATTCAGCTGTTTGTGATGCTGGGTGGTTTTTCTTGGTTAATGAATGTGGTTTAATAAATTTGTTAAAAGCTGTATATCAATAAATGTAATAAAATGTGTTAATGCTGTAACAACGTGCTTTTCAGTACTTTAGTTTTCATAAAGAAAGCTTATATGTTTCTGTAGCAGCTTCATTACACTTCAGCAGAGTCTTCAGTAGGAAGCTTGACTGGATGTTGCTTCTTATGTTGATGAGTTTTTCGGTGTACCCCAAAAGCAACGGCAACAAGAGCAACAAAAACAGCAACAGGAACAACAACCTGAAGAGATGGAGATCCGACCCTTTCAGCATCATCCGTGTTTCCATCTGCACCTCCTTTTTCCATGACTGTTTTCTCCAACACGCTTTCATGTGTTTCACCTGCAGAGTAAACAGAAATCAAATCACAGGTGGAGAGAGTTCTAACTGGATCATAAAGCGCGGAGGAAGTTGTTAGTTTACATTTAATGAGCTCCACAAACTCACCTGTGACTGTGAGGTTGATGAAGTGACTGATCTCAGTGTGAGCTCTTTTACTTCTCACAGGGTTCCTCACAGCTATGTGACACTCATACATCCCAGTGTCATTAAACGCGACGTTCTTCAGAATCAGAGAAACGTCTCCATCCTTCATCTCTGGGTCCCTCAGCTTCACTCGGCCATGAAAAGATGGATGTTGGTAGTTTTCATAGAATCGTTTGTTCCTGTAGAAGTAGACGTAGCCGTCTGTGTTCAGGTCAGCTCTGCTCCACTTCAGCACTGAGATTATTTCATCTGTGGAAATCTCACACTGGAGAGTGACGCATGCTCCAGGTTTTGCCTGAACATCCTGCTGAAGAGCTGAAGACATCACAATTATAAATTATTATTTCCTGGTTTGGGGTTTAGAGTTTTAGAATTTAGTTTTAGAATTAAATTAAGGAAATTAAAACATGAATAAAAATGTTGTGTCCACTAGCCACTGAGCAGACAGACACATGGGACAGACAGAGAGAGAGAGATTGTTAAAACATCTATTCACTCACCTGTTAACTCAGAAATTAGAAACAAAACCAGAAGGATTTTAAAATAAGCCATGTTTAACAGAAGCACGAAGACCACGAAGCAGCAGCAAGAATCCGGAGTGAAACGGAAAGATACATGCTGAAACTGAATTACAGTGAATCCGTGTGGGGAATTTAGAGGGAAGTGAGTCACCAGTGACCTTGCCCTGCTGCTTACCTTTCTGTTTCTGTTTTACCGTTCAGTCTGTGTCAGGGTTTTAATAGTTTTGCAATTTTCATTAGTTTTTATTTTTATTTAGTTTTGACTTCAGATTTTCAATTTTATATCAGTTTGAATTAGTTTTTACCAATTGTTTGCTAGTTTAGTTTAGTTTTTATTTTTTTGAAAAGCCTTAGATTCAGTTTAGTTTTGATTAGTGTCAGTTATAGTTTTAGTTGTGTTTGCAATAATTAAGTGTAACAAAATCCCAGTTTCATCATATCAGTCATGCTCTTCTGCTTATCCTTGGGTATGTTGCTATTCCAGCTACCATACCCTGCACCCTGGACAGGTCGCCTGTCTGTCGCAGGGCTAACACGCAGAGACAGACAACTCACATTCCCACCTATGGGTTCTTTAAATAAATAAATAAATAAAGGCAGGCAACCATTGATACCAGGCAACTATAAAATGTATATCTTGGCCCCAATGAGACTATTAACTCTTGCAGCACCGGGTGTTCGTAATTTTGGTTCAAGTGAATTGATAAACTTTTTGAAGTCAATTGACTCACACAGTTGTGTAGATATCCCAGTCCTGTTGTCTCGGGATGCATCACGCTGCCTTGCCTGGGGTTAGCGTCTGTTTCTGGGGATGAGGGTTGAGTGTGCTCCCTTCTCAAGGTAAGCTAGGTTAGCCTTCTTGTGTGAGCTTTTCAAGTGCACTTTAAGGTTTGTGGGATTTTTTTCCCTTTAGAAATGTCCCTCATAATTTGTCTCTTTCCACTACAAGTAGTGATGTGACGTTCTGTATCGAGGCTTCGGAGCGTGTGTCGAGTAATGGAGGGGGCGTTTCCGCGATGCGCGTATCGAGGCTTGCTTCA